CCCATTTGTTTGCTTTTGCTTTTATTTCTATTGCCTCAGTGGACTTCCCTAGGAGAACATGGCTATGATTTATATCAGAGAATGTTTTGCCTGTGCTCACTTCTAGGTTAATGGTGTCTTGTCTTACGTTTAATAAGTCTTTAAGCCATTTTAAGTTTATTTTTGTGTAGGGTGTGAGGGAGCACTCTAAATTTGTTGATTTACATGTGACTGTCCAGCTTTCCCAACACCACATATTGAAGAGACTGTCTTTTCTCCATTGTATATTCTTGCCTCTTTTGTCAAAGATTAATTGATTGTAGGTCTGTGGGTTTATTTCTGGACTCTGTGATCTGTTCCGTTGATCCATATGTCTGTTTTTGTGCCAATACCATGATACGCAAAAGTTTTTTAATTTTAATGAAGTTCAAAATTCAAAATTTTGTCTTTTTTATTTTTCGTCATTGTGTTTTGGATGTCCTATCTAAGAAACATTGCCTAATGCAAGATCATGTAGATTTACTCCTGTGTTACATTTTGAGTAAAATTTTTGTATGTGGTGTTAAATAGGGATCAAGTTTTATTCTTTTGCTTGTATATATTTAGTTGTCTCAGTACCATTTGTTGAAAAAGCTGAATTTCCTCCATTGAATTGTTTTCATGCCTTTGTCAGAGATTAACTAAATTGTATTGCCTTCCTTGTTGAAAACCAATTGACCACAAATATAAGGGTTTGTATATCGAAACTCAATTTGATTCCATTGATCTGTATGTTTATCTTTGTGCCAGTACCACGTTGTCTTGATTACTATAACTTTATAGTAAGTTTTGAAAGTGGGAAGTTTGAATCCTCAAACTTTGTTCTTTTTCAAGATTATTTTGGTTATACAGGGTTCCTTGCATTTCTGTGTGATTTTAGAGTCAGCTTATCAGTTTTTGCAAAGTTAGCTGGAATACTGATGCTGATTGCATTGAATCTGTAGGCTAATTTAGGGAGTTTTGCCATCTTAAAAATATTAAGTTCTAATCCATGAACATGGGCTGTCTTTCCATCTATTTAGGTCTTGGTTTCTTTCCATAATGTTTTGTAGTTTTCGGTGTACAAGTCTTGTACTTCTTAAAATAGAATTGTTTTCTTAATTTTAAGATTTTTCACTGTTAGTATATAGAAATACAATTGAATTTTGGATATTGATATTTTATTCTGCATCCGAGCTGAACTCAGTTATTATTTCTAGTAGTTTTTTTAATGAATTCCGTAGAATTTTCTATATAGAAGACAATGTCATCAGTGAACAGAAATAGTTTTACTTCATCCTTTTCAATCTGAATGAATGCCTTTTATTTCTTATTTTGCCTAATTGCTCTGGCTAGACATTCCAGTTGAATGGAAGCTGGAGAATAGACATCCTTGTTTCTGATTTTAAAGGAAGCCATTCAGTCTTTCACAGTTAAGTATTATGTTATTACAGGTTTTTTGTAGATGGCCTGTCCATCAGATTAAGGAACTACCCTTTTATTTCTTTGTTGATTTTTTTTTTTAATTTGGTCATGACAAGTTTGGATTTTGTGAATATTTTTTCTGCATCTATTGAAATGGCTATATGTTTTTTATCCCTTATTCTGTTACTGTGCTATATTGTATTGACTGATATTTGTATGCTAAACCAACCTTGTATGCATACTTGGTCATAGTATATCATCCTTTTTATATATTGTTGGGTTCAATTTGCTAGGTTATTGTTAAAAGACTTTTGTGATTATATTCGTAGGGATATTGGTCTGTAATTTTGTTTACTTTTCTTGGGATATCTTTGTCCATTTTTTTAAGTTATGGTAAAACACGCAACATGAAATTTACTTACCATTTTAACCATTTTTAAGTATACAGTTGTGAGCATTAAGTATATTCACATTGTTTTCCAACCATCACCACCATCCATCTCCAGAACTTTTTCATCTTCCCAAACTGAAACTGTACTCATTAAACAGTAACTCCTCATTCTTCCTTGCCCTCAGCCCTTGGCAACCACCCTTCTACTTTGTGTCTCTGTGAATATGACTATTCTAGGTTCCTCATGTAAGTGGAATCATACACAATATGTTCTTTTGTGACTAGCATATTTCACTTAGCCTAATGTCTTCATGGGTCATGCATATTGTGGCATGCATGTATTAGAATTTCCTTCTTTTTAAAGGCTGAGTAATTTTCTGTTGTGTGTAAATACCACATTTTGTTTATCCATTCATTAATGGACACTTGGGTTGTTTGCTTCCTCCTTTTGGCTATTGTGAATAATACTGCTATAAACATGGGTGTGCAAATATCTGTTCAAGTCCCTTCTTTCAGTTCTTTTGGATGTATACCCCAAAGTAGAATTGCTGGATCATGTGGTGATTTTGTGTTTAATTTTTTGAGGAACTACCGTACTGTTTTTCACTGTAACTGCACCATTTTGTAGTCCCACCAGCAATGCATAAAGTTTCCAGTTTTCCTACAACCTTATCAACACTTGGTATTTTCTGTGTTTTTGGTAATAGCTATTCTAATGGATGTGGAGTGTTTCTATCCATTTTTAATAGCAGGGTAATACTGGTCTCATAAAATAAGTTGGTAAGTATTCCCTCCTTTTTTTTTTTTTTGGCAAGGGAAAGAATATGAAGGATTAATGTTAATTCTTAAATGTTTGGTAGAATTCAGCAGTAATGGCATCTGGTCCTGGCTTTTCTTAGTGGGATTACAAAGCACTTTCTGTTTGGTATAGATCTGTTCAGATTTTCTGTTTCTGCTTGACTCAGTTTTGGTGGTTTATGTCTTAAAAATGTGTCCATTTCATCTAGAGTATCTAATTTGTTGGCATACAATCATCAATAATATTCCTTATAAGCATTTTTGTTTCTGTAAAGTCAATATTGATACCTTCCCTTTCATTACTGATTTTAATGATTTGAGTCTTCTCTCTTTTTTCTTGGTTAGTCTAGCTAAAGTTTTGTTCATTTTGTTGACCTTTTCAAAGAACCAGCTTTTGGTTTTGTTTATTGTCTCTATTGTTTTTCTGTTCTTTCTTTCATTTATTTTCGCTTAAATCTTTATTTCCTTCTGCCTGCTTCGGGTTTCATTTACTCTTCTTTTTCTAAGGTGTATGATTAGGTTATTGATTTGAGATCTTTTTGCTTTTTTAAAAATATTTCACTGATTACTACATCTCATAACTTTTGTTGTCCTTTAATTTTCATTCATCTCAAAGCAGTTTTCTGATTTCCTTTGTGATTTTTTTGACCCATTGGTTGTATAGCTGTATGTTATTTAATTTTCATGTATTTTGGGGTTACCCAAATTTCCATCTGCTGTTGATTTCTGATTTCATTCCATTGTGATCAGAGAACATACTTTGTATGATTTTAATCCTTTCAAATCGATTGAGGCTTGTTTCATAACCTAACGTATGCTTTTACCCTGGAGAATGTTCCACGTGCACTTGAGAAGAATGTATATTCCGTTAGTGGATATTGCAGAATCATGAATATTCTGCTGTTAGTGAATTGGAAAGTGAGTTTCCAATTGTTCTTATTGAATTGTGTGCTTCTCTTTAGCTCTGTCAGTTTCTGCTTCCTGTACTTTGGATCTCTGTTAGATGCATATTTGTTTAGAATTGTTATGTCTTTCTGATACATTAGCCCTTTGTCATTAAAAAAAAAATCCTTCCTTATCTCTAGTAACAAATTTTCACATGACATCTGGGTTTCCTGATTTAGTGTAGCCACTCCAGCTCCCTTTTGGTTACTGTTTTCATAGTATATATTTTTCCATTCTTTTATTTTATCTTCCTGTTGTTATTGGCTTTTAAAAAATCATTATGAAGTAGCCTTCTTTGTCTTTAGTAATGTATTTCTTAACATCTGCAAGCATACCTCAGAGTTATCACAAGTTCAGTTCCACAGCACTTCAGTGAAGCAAGTATCACAGTAAATGGAGTCACACGAATTTTTTGATTTCCCAGTGCATATAAAAGATATGTTTACCCTATACCATGGTCAATAAATATTGCAATAGCATTATCTAAAAATGTACATACCTTAATTTTAAAATAATTTATTGCTAGAGAACACTAACCATCATCTGAGCCTTCAGCAAGTTGTAATCTTTTTACCTCAGTGTTGATGGCTGCTGACTGATGGGAGTGGTGGTCGCTGAAGGTGGGGTGGCTGTGGCAATTTCTTAAAATAAGACAATGAAGTTTGCCACATTGATTGACCCTTCCTTTTATGAATGTTTTCTCTGTAGGGTGCAAGGCTGTTTAATAGCATTTTACTCACAGAACTTCTTTCAGAATTGGAATTAGTCCTCTTAAACTCTGCTGCTGCTTAACCAACTTAGTTTGTGTAATATTCTGAGTCCTTGGTTGACATTTCAACAGTCTTCACAGCATCTTTGCCAGGAGTAGATTCCATCTCAAGAAACTACTCTCTGCTTATCCGAAGCAGCTCCTCATCCACTCAGGTTTTATCATGAGACTGCAGCACTTCAGTCACATCTTCAGGCTCCACTTCTAATTCTAGTTCTTCTGCTGTTTCCACCATGTCCGCAGTGACTTCCCCCACTGAAGTCTTGAACCCCTCAAAGTCATCCAGTGAGGTTTGAAATCAGCTTCCTCTGAACTCTTGTTAATATTGATATTTTGGCTTCTTCCCATGAATCAGGAATGTTCTTAATGGTATTTAGAACGGTGAATCCTTCCCAGAAGGTTTTCAATTTATTTTGCCCGGTTCTGCCAGAGGAATCATTATCTGTGGCAAAATGTATTTCTTACATAATAACACTTGAAAGTTGAACTTACTCCTTGGTGCATGGGCTGCAGAATGAATGCTGTGTTAGCAGGCATGAAAACAGTATCCACACTCTTGGCATTAATGGCTGCTATTGAGTAAGCATCTCCTTTTGTTAAATTGGAAAATTTTAGTCACTAATTAGTTTATTTTTTGCTTTGTTTTGCTTTTTTACCCTAATCCCCTTTTGTCAGAAGAATGATGAAAATGGAAACTGCTCAGGGGAAGGAATTGAATTCCCTACAACAAATTTATATGAACTAGAAAGCCGTGTTTTGACTGATCATTGGTCCATCCCTTACAAGCGGGAAGAATCACTAGGCAAATGCCTGTTGGCGTCTACCTACCTAGCAAGACTTGGTAAGTTCACACCTCCGGACACGGGAGTTGTGTGTTTTTTGGGTTTTTTTTTTTTTTTTTTTTTTGATAGGAGGCCTGACTTTAATCTTAGCTGCTGTCATTGCCCATCAGTATTATTAGATCTTGTACTCTCTTAGCCTTTGTTTATCGCCTGTGGAATAAAAGCATTGAATTAAATCAGGTATTTTCTTCTAGCACCAATGAAGTGTAAGATTCAATAAGATACAGTTGAAATGCCTTATGGATATTGATGTTAACTTTTTCCACAGAAGCTTGGAGCATTTTCGAGTAAGGCTCAATTCAGTGACTTTTTTTTTTTTAAGAGAAGAATGTAATGTTTATTTAACAAACATTTTATACTTATTAAGTGCTTGGCACTGTCTTAAGTGCTTTACAAATATTAAGCTATTAGAGTAATAAAATATCACTAGTTTGGAGAATAAGTATCAACATAAGGTAGCTTCTGTACTATAAACATTAAAGAGAGAATAATAATTTGTTTTTCCATATTGAATTCAGTTATAAAATAAGATGAAGTGGGCTACTTCTTGCGATTTTTTTTCTTATTAAAAGTGCATAATTTATCATCGTGATTAAATATGAGACACATCAAAAGGAAATGTTTTGACTGGGCCTTCATGGTGCGTTTATACCTGGCTTCTCAGCAGCAGCATTTTGAAGTGCCTGTGAGGATGTAGGTACTACAGCTAGGTAGTGGGTCTGAAAAAGAAAATGTGCTCAACAGTCTTTCCACTGATAAGCAAAACCTGCTATTGAGGTTTTCTTTTTAAGTAGATTCCAAAGGATAATTTTGCAGTGAATTTATTCTTTCATTTAGTAAGTATTTATCACTTACTCAGTGCCAGGCACAATTGCGTGCATTTTATTGCACAGATTCATCAGTTTGCTTTAGGGAAGAAGAGTGATTTTGGCATTTATTGAGAATATTTTTGTTTTTAATAGAGCTGTTTAGGAAAACAATAATGGCTGTTAAGTAGCTGCTGCTGGCAGCTATTTAGTCAGATCATTGGAAGTTACTCTGACATGGAAACATAAGTTCAATCATTTCAGTTCTAACTAGTATTTATTTTACGACTAATAAATATATATTAATAATTAACAAAGGTAAATAAATATATTATACTATTAATAAATAACGTGATACTGTGACTTTCTCAGCCTGTTCCTTCATCAGAATGTATGTATTCTACTTTTAGTAATTCCTTAAGAATCAAGATTTCTATAATAAATAGTTCCATCTGCATGAATTTGAATGATACATGATTTCTGCAACTACCTAAAATCTAAAATAAGGCATATTGTTTCATTTATTTTGCTAAGGTCTTTCTGAGTCTGATGAGAATTGTAAAAGATTTATGGATAGGTGTATGCCTGAAGCATTTAAAAAGGTAAGAAAAATGTGCTATGCTAATATATATATTTTTGTCTGTGTGTGTGTGAGAGTGAAGGTGAACAGGCTTTTTGTTTCAGTTTGTTTTTTATATATAAGACCAGTTTATGAATCCTGTTCAACTGAGGAATGCTCTAATATGAAAAAAAGAAAGAGCTCAGTAAATCTTTGTTGAATTAATAAATGAGTCTCCTGCTGTCTCCTATTTCTGGGTTTTGACATCCATATTTGTCCCATATGCAAGTAAGTCCCTACAACTACAGATTGGTGAAGTTTGTATTTATCTTAAAAACCCAGTAAAATAAACTGTTCATTTGCAGGCTATTATTCCTGTCTGCATCTTGACAGAGAAAGTCTCCTTTGATTCAAGGCTTAAGAGAGAACGAAATTAATTTTAGGAACAAAAATAACTTGATCTTTGAAAAAAGGGAGAAATCTTTTTAAATTGTTACTTGGGTAGGAATTATATGGAATCAAGATTGATCTTCATTTTGGATGAACTCATCTACCATTTTGTAGTTTAAAGTTATTTTCAACTTTCAAGAATTTTGTTAAGAATTATAGTAACTTTTTAAAAAATAACAGCACTTTGATAATGTAACATACTGTGACACATAACATAATGTATGCATAAATTTGCAGAGAAAGAAAATACAAGTTTATGCAGAGTCATGGAAAAGGATTTATTCATGTAAGGAAAGGATCTTTAGGTTGATCATCTCCAGATTCAGAGAGCCCTGTGTCAAATCAGTCCAGCAGCAAGTTGCGTATTTGGAATATAATACTCTTTAACTCTATACAGAGATGCTTCAGAGGACTGTTTTATTTTATGCACTCAGCTGTTTGTAATAGTATAATAAATGGTCCAGTGGTTTTGGAGTTTTTTTCTATAAAACTGTGAACACAATGATACCCTGCATTGTGTTCAGTGTTGTTCAAATCTTAGAGTTCAGAGCTATTAAAAAGGTTCTCTAAACCAGAAGAGCAACGTAATTCTGTAGATTTGGTTGCCAGAAAACTCAAGTGTATTTTATGTAATTGGGATTGCTTCCCTTAAAGGCTGTGTTTCCTTGTATGACTCTCCCCCTACCTTCTTCCCTAGGCTTTTCTTACGTGCTGCCTTTTTTGTTGTTGTTGTTAAGAATTGAGAGTATGTATAAATAATAAGCACTTTGTATGAATGAGGTACACAAAAGGAGCTCTGTTGTAATTTCTACTTTCTTCACCTTTCACTTTCAGGCTAGGCTGGATTCTTTACTAGTATATTGAGGAAGGGCAAAACATCTAGGTCTGGCAATGGTGCATAGTTACATTTAAACTTTGTGTGCATCTTCCTACAAGGTGCTGCCTGTCTTGCCCCACCTCATCTGGAAGGTAGATAGAACTCCATTTTCAAAGTAAAAACTGAATAAATTAGATAGGAACAGAGGGGAGTGATGCTTAGTGCACATAATTTTTATTTTGTAGTCACGTGAATCTTCTTAAATCTTAATCTCTGCTGTATTATCTAATTTTTAAGTACCGGAATAATATACAGGCAGGCAAAAGAATTCTTGCAAAAAATAGTAACTCATTGGTTTATATAAAATCTGTCTTATGGTTATTGCTCATTTGAGCAAATAATGCAGCTAATTGCTATATAGAAAGTCTGGAGTTGAGGTTTTCCTCTGCAGCTAAAGAAATCTGGGCTCTTTCAGGCTGTTCCTGTTAAGGGTTCTCAGTGTGACCAAGATGAAATTTATGTAGCACAGTATTTTCCCTCTGAAGAGAAATCTTCCAAAAATATGAACCCACCATACCAATTTGCCATTATTAAGTGGAAACTTTGACTCCTCATTCCCTGTTCTGGCAGTTGTTCCTAAGTTAGACTTCCCCAAGGACTAGAAGACTAAAGATTGGGGAAATCCAAAGATGATGATTTTAGATTCATCTGTGTGCCTTTTCCTTCCTTTTAAACAAATCTAAGATGCTGTCTGAGAATAAGATGCACTATTGTTTTATATTTTATGTTTTATATTTAAGAAAAAATAGCTGCAAAGAAGACTGTGTTACAGTGCCTTATCACTTAGAGCGATTTTAGATTTCCTTAAATATTTTTAAAAAATTGACTATTACTTTTATACATACCAGAAAGGGAAATACAGACAAAATAAATTGGTAAGATATTTCTAAAATGTTTTCACATTTGGAGCCTTGCTGCCATCTGGTCAACAGGTGCGAAGATGTAGTCCTGGGTTTCTGAGATCTAAAAAATATGAAGAGTGTGTATGTCCAAATCATGAAATATAGCATCCATTTTTTAGATTTTAGGAATGTTGATTAATAGTGACAGCCCAGATACATTAATTATAAAACGTTACTACTTATAAGATACTTTCACATTTGTTATACACCTTCTAATACTTGTAACATCTATGCGAAGTGGGTAGGAATTATGTCTCTTGTGAGATGAGAGAACTAAGCCTCTGAGAACTCAGGTAAATTTGTCCAAGACCACACAGCTAGAAAACAGTCGTGCCACAACTGATCTCAGGTTCTTTCTTGCTCTGCACCACTTGACCTCCCCTAGTAATAATGAAAAGTAGAGAAACAAACATTTTCTTTAAGCAGATTGTTTTAATACAAGGGACTTAAAGTTCAAAAGCAAAACTAAGAGTTGACTGTGAAATAAGTGAACGAGTATATGGACTACAGCTGTGGGTCTTTTGAAGCAAGTCATCTACATAAAAATAAGTATTATGGTAGTAATCTCATGATTATTCAAGACTGAATTGACAGCTGTAGACATTTTTTTTTCTTTTCAAGTGAAAGTCTAAACTGCCCTTTATATTTGTATAGCTCCTGACATCAAGTGCTGTTCACAAATGGGGTACTGAAATTCATGAAGGGATCTACAACATGTTGATGCTATTAATAGAACTGGTTGCAGAGAGAATAAAACAGGACCCAATTCCTACTGGTCTGCTGGCTGTGCTTACAATGGTACAGTATCTCTAAAATGAAGTACTTTGTGTTTTGATTTTGTTGAAAATACCTTACTTACCCTCTGACATAATTAACAAGGAGAGATGATAATGTTATCATTAAAGATATTAACTTGGCTATTAGGGTTCTTGCTTTTATTTTAAAAGCAAAACAACCGTTCTGTGTTTCCAATTTTAAAGGGATACCTTTCTAATTTTAAGCTTTTTCAACTTTTAGAATGATTAAATAGCTTTCCCTATGTCTTCCTGGTTATTTGCATCATAAGTACTGTCACATAAGGTGTTCGTGTAGTTTAGTTTATGGACTTTTCCCCCGACTAGTAACAGCAGCTGCATGAAGTAGGACACTATGTTTTTCCTAACTTTCATCTTCCCTGCCTTGTTGGTCAGCTCTACTTGTGGTGGCCCTAGGACGTCTGGAGCCTTAGCATCACCTTGCCTTGCATCAGACCTCTCGTCCTTCTCCCTCCTTCTCTTCCCCCATAGCAAATGTTGAACAGAACAGGAGAGCGCCACTTTGATCATTTGTTCCTCAGCACCAGCTAAGGAATTTTTTTGTTGGAATACTTGAAAGATTTCATTAATGAAGCAGTCCAAGGCTGTATTTTTATCTTCTTTTCTAATGCTAATATGTGTTGCTATAGAAATAGGTAGTAATAATGTTTCTCTCTTCTCTTTGAATCTAGGCTTTCAATCCTGATAATGAATACCATTTTAAAAACAGAATGAAAGTGTCTCAAAGGAATTGGGCAGAAGTGTTTGGAGAGGGAAATATGTTCGCTATTTCACCTGTTTCTACTTTCCAAAAGGTAGACATAGTTTTGTTTCATCTTTTAATAGAGAATATATTGGAAAAGATTTTCCCTGCTCTAAAAATGATAGTTTATGTGGAAGGATTAAAACAGTCTGTGAAAAAATGACAAATACTCCATATGGTTCATAAAATTGCTTAACATTTTTTTCAGCTATTGTGTGTTTTTCCATAGCTGTTAACTAATACCATGAAGAACTTTGTAGATTTGAAATGGTGTTTAGTGAAACGAGAAGTGACCACATGACATGAGTGCCCTATTTATTGAATTATCAGAAGCCCAGTTTAGTGGGCGTCCCAGTTTCTTAGAGATGTTTGAGAAGCTAGAGCTTTTCAAATCATTTGAAATGACTAATTATTCCTAGAAAAAAATAACCTAGTAGTTAATCTCATGTATAATTTTCTTGTAAACTGCATAAGCTTTAAAGCTTTTGGTTTTTTTTTTTAAGCACAGACTAACATCTTTATTTTATTTTTAAAGGCCAGCAGTGTGCCAATAACATTATACCCACAAGGAGTACATAATTCTAGGACTTAAACTTTAATCTCTTGATTCCTGATTTGCTACTCTTTAATAATTTTTAATTCCTAAAATATAATTCTCTTAGAGAATTTAACTCAAGTTATTTTGTACCTCAGAGAGCTTAAACAATTGATCTCAGCCACCCAAAATGCATAAATGCTTCATATTGTTGCAATTCCATCAAAATACAGAGTTACTTCTAAAATTATTTACAGTAATGTTAGAGATTCACATTAAGAAACATTTGGAAAAACCTTTTGAAATATTTTCAAATTAAAAATTTTCCCCAACTTTTTTTTTAGGGTAACAGAAATATGAGGGTTAGTAGGAAAGTTTTTATATTGCTATCTCAATTTCTGTTTTCTTTTCTTATAGGAGCCTCATGGATGGGTTGTGGATTTGGTAAACAAGGTATACAGCTTTTATTAACATGGTCATGTTTTCCATTTTCCAATAAGATTTCCTAGAGTATGGTATTTTAGGTAGATGACAGCTATAGAGAACAATCAGATAGGTTTTAGGGTTTCTTCCTCTTTTTTCTATGTGCTATTTATACAGATAAACATCAGCTTTAGATCTTAGCACATCTCCTGCAGTGTATCACAGGAGCATTGGAATTATTTTTGTGATGACTCTCAAGACCAGGATTATAGAGCATACTGATAAGTAGAATGTGAGCCTTAGTTCCTTGTTTAAACTCTTAAGATATAGCATTTTACCTTAATATTATTTTGTACCTTTTTTCTTCTCAGTTCGGAGAACTAGGTGGATTTGCAGCAATCCAAGCCAAGCTCCATTCAGAAGATATAGAACTTGGGGTAAGTTAAACCCCACTTTATGTACCCGATGTGGAAGTTCACTTTATATGGGTTGATGTGTAACCCAAAGGACATACTCTAAACACATGAACTTCAGTGTTAAAGTTGAAGTTAATCTTTACAGGAACAGCTTCCATAGTTCTGATAACCACAGAAAAATTTACTCTTAATCATAGTAGCCAAATTTCAATGTAGGGTTTTTGGGTTTTTTTTTTTTTTCCCCCACCACACTGATTTCTCTTTATGACATTCTCCTCTTTCTTTGTAGTGGTTGCATGAAATTATCTTGCTGTTTAGGGACCGTTGCTGTATGTGGCAAGTATATGTGTACAAAACAATTTTATGCCTCAGTTAAATCAGAATTTATTTTATAGTACCAGAAACAAATAAAATATTTTAAGATTGGTTAGTCAGCTTTTTGGTGTTACAGAGATTTAAATGTAACAAAGGGCTATAATAGGAGCTTAGAATCATCCGTCGGGTACAATACCATTATCTTTTCATGTTAACTTCTTTTTCTCAAAAAAAGTTAACCTCGTGGTAAGGGAAATAACTTAATCTTTAATTTTTCGCAGACTGCTGACCTCTTTGTTACTGAGAGCACTTTATTCTTTTCTCTAGTTAAGTAATCATTCAATTAAAAATGAGTTATTACGTACTTGCCATGTAGATGACAGTGTTCTAGCTACTGTAATTGATCAGAGCAGAAAGTGATGTGATAACATAATATAACTAAGTGATGCGAATTGTGCTTAGAGTAGCAGTTATTTCTGTGGGACCATGACTAATCAGTTAACTCCCTTAGTCCATCTTTGCATGAGGGCTGTAACAACCGTCAAGGAGAGAGACTGGTGCAACATAGGTAATAGACTATGTCTTGCTACCCTCTGTTTATCCTTAAAGATCAGGTGTCTGCCAGATCATAAATACTGGCACCGATCAGAGGCCTCTTCTCCTTCCCTGACTGTTAACTAGGTTGTGAGGCTGTCATTTTGATACCCATAAAATGGACTGAGTATGTTAGAGATGACTTTATTGACGTGGAAGATAATAGGTAGTAACTTAAAAAGTCAGACAGAACAAAAACCTATTTAGATACAGGGTTTTATCCAGCTTACTTGTTTCTCAGGAACTGGCTGTATAGGTCATTTGGGCAATATTAGAAATGAACTTCATTTTTTAAAAAGTTTAAAACACTCACTCATTTCCTGCAGAGTTTATTTATTTAAACAGACAAACAGAGAATCCCAAAGTTTCTACCCTACTTAGATGAAAATTGACTAAGGGTTGATATGTAGGCATCTGAGCTTGCCCTCACAATTATCAAATGTCTTGAGGCTAAAGATCCCTCCAGGATTTTTCCCTTAGGTCAGACAAACTGTGTTGTTTGTTACTGTTGATGTAGAATTAGATTGGTTAGGTTGTATTGAGATGATAAAATTCAGACATAAGAGAAAGAGATTCCAAAGATTGAGATTAATTTTAGCAAACAAGTATAATTAAAATTTCACAGTAAGTTTCTGATTTTGACCAGTTAAGAAGGTAACTAAGTCCCAGAATAAATTTAAGGCCATATTATAAGACCAAGTACAAGTAAATGTACTCATTTTATATTTACATGTTTTTGAATTTGAAAAATACTGGGGAAAAACCATCATTCCCAATCCTATACTGGGGGGGAGCAGTAGGTAGTAGCTCAGTGGTAGGGCACATGCTTAGCATGCACAAGGTCCTATGTTCAATCCCCAGTACCTCCACTTTAAATTAAAATTAAAATTAAAATTAAGTAAAAACCTATACAAAGTAAGAAATGAAAGTTGTTCCTCCTCCACCCTACCCCCACACATACACCTCCTGCCATTTAGTGCATAACCTTTCTGACTTTCCAAAGTTTATATAAAATATATATGCATGTTGTTTCTCTCTTTAAGAGACTAAATTGTAATCAAGCTATACCTAGTAGCATATTTTCATATAACATTAAATCATGGCACCTTAAGGTTAGTACTGTTTTTAATGGTTCTAATGTGTTACTGCAAATGTACCATGATGCAGTCACTGACTAATGAGCATTGGATTATTTCTAAGTTTTTACTGTTACAGAGAGTATTCCATGTAAAATTGTCTTTGTGTGCTTATGCTACCATTTCTGAAGGATAGTTTCCTAGAAAGTGGGATTTCTGCATTAAAGACTATATACATTTTAAAATTATAATTGACAGTGCTAAACCTCTTTCCAAAAAGCTGTCACCAGTCTATACTCCCGCAAAGCGATTTCCTCATACTCTCGTCAGTACTGAAAGCTGTCATTCTTTAATTTTCCAATATGATGGACCAAAAAAAGATGGTATTTTATGATTTAATTTGTAATACTCTGATTTCCTATGAATCTGGGCACTTTGTCATATGATTATTGGCTGTTTGCATTTCCTCTGTAGATTTGACCTAGTTACATAGGTCTCTTTGGTATTGATTGTCTTATTAACTTTCAGGAATTCTTTTTACATTAACAATATCGATGCCATGTCTGTTCTGTGTATTTGTAAATTTTTTCCCTCAATCTTCTGCTTCTTTTTTTATTTTTATTGATGGTGTCTTTTTGCTCTACAGAGGCTTTATAATTTTTATATAGCCAGTTTTTTCCTTAATAGCTTCAAAGTTTCCTGATTTGCCTGGGAAATGTCCCCTATCTCAGAGTTATAAAAATACTCATTTCATTTTATACTTACTCAGTTTCATTTTTTTAACTTAGTTTTTGAGCTCATTTAGAGCTTACTTATATATATGGTATAAGATAGAGATCTAATTTTATTTTCTTCCAAATGAGTAACTAATTGTAAGATCCTCTAATGAATAATGCAGTTTTTCTTCACTATTTTGATTTGTTTGCTTTATCAAATGTCAGGGGCCCATGTGCACCTGAATTTGTTCCTGAACTTCTGTTCCAGCCATTCATTCGTTCAGCCATCCTCTGGCCATTTCTGTTTTAATTATTGGTAGTGCCAGTTCTGCTCAGCATCTTTCTTTTCTCTAATTTTTTTAATCATTCACATATTTTTACTCTTCTGAATATAGTCCGCATCTCAGATTCTTCTGCAGAAAGTTCCACCAAGATGATATGTGGAATTGTGTTTGTTCAGTTTATAGGTGTGGAAGATTGATGTTTTCACAGTGCTGGTCCCTTCCATTCAAGAACATCGTATCTCCTCATTTATTTGTGCCTTTTATGTATTTCAGTAAAGTTTTATAATTTTCTTCATCAAAGTCTTAAATTTTTTTTAAACACATTTCACTCCTTCCCAAACTATTCTCTCCTTTTTCAAATAATTTTCATTATTCTACAAAGTGAACTTTAGAATCACCTCATCCAGGCCTCCAAAGAAGTTTTATTGGCATATTAGGATTTAAATTACACTACAATAATTTAAATTTAAATGAATTGACATCTTTATATCAGTCCTCCCTGTCCAAGAGCATAAAATATTCTCTGACATTCTGAAAGGGGTTTGTTTAATGTTGAAAGGAAGAAAATTGCTCACACTTGTTTCTCACCTTCACTGTCTTTTTCCAGGCAGTCTCAGCACTGCTGCAGCCCCTAGGAGTGTGTGCAGAGTACCTCAACTCCTCGGTGGTACAGGTAAGATAAGCCGTTGAACATTTACTTCACAGGTGATCTAAGGCACACAAACAGTAAAAATTATCTTGTTATCAGGTTGTTCAGAATTGTGCCTAATTTGTAATTTTTTTTTCAAATTAGCTATCCTTGTAGTGAAAATAATATCAGAAGACAAATAAAAATGATTAATAATTTAAGATACAGGAGAGAGCTAACATTTAAGATTATTTACCTTTTTAATTTATCATTTTATCAAATATAATTACATATTATGAGATGCATTTTTCTTCGCTTCCTTAACCAGGAAATAGGCATATAACCCTCCCCTCTTCACTGGCTTATTTAAGGGTTCAGTGCCATTAGTGTTGAGCAGTCTGCTAGGCTCACTTACCAGCCAAGTCACTTGGTGCTGAAGGAAAGTTTAACAGCACATCCTGTGTGATTTCCTGTCTCTGCAGATTGTAAGTCAGCAGGTCATAGGATAATCAAAGCTGTGAGTGTTCAGCTTCCTAATGCTTAGGGCCTGTAACACTTTCTAGTTTCCTTTCCATTTCAGTTAATAAGTTTTACGGAATAATTGTCATACGGAAATTCCTTCATTTATTATTTTCTTATGAAAATAAACCTGTGAAACTTTTGCAAGTTTTGAGAGAAATGTTTTTGTATGCACTATTCCTTCTTTCTAATACCTAATTTGATTAGGGCCATTTTTAACAAGGGAGATATGATTTTTTTTTTAGTAGGTTCTGGAAATTTCTGTTTCTAAGTTTTAAGTGCCTTCTTTAGATATCAAAATAATACTGCAAGGTTTTTCAATGAAACAGAATGGCTACTTACGTATTTCTTCATTCTGGATATTAAGCTTTTTAGAAACAACTTTCACTTATTAAGCATGCAAATACAATCATTTGTTTTGTAGCTGGAACACTAAGGCATAAAGAGGTAAAATGATTTGACTTTTAGTAATTTAATAATAAATATTAATAATTTAATAATTGACTTTTTAATGATCAGGTCCAGGATTGAATTTTTAAATGCATGCTCCTGACCCATGCATTGCACCATGGAAAGAGATTTAGTATAAATATTCCCAGCAGCTAATTAATACTAAGTTCTTTAGAAATTCCAGGTTTTATATCTAAGCATAGTACACTTTTAAAAGAGTAAAAAAGTCTATGAAGTTTCAACCAAAGCATATTTAACTTTATTTTAATTATATCAAACTATCCAACCTGAAATTCATTCAGCAATAAATTCATACCATATTTATATAAATTAACTGGTATGTCTACCACTTGCTTCCTGTGTGACTTTGGAAGACGTCATGTGACACCTGTGCCTTGGCTCCCTTGTTTATAAAACAGTGATAACAATCATGCCTGTCTCACAGAGCTGCAGTGGGAATTCAGCAGGACTGGCATATGCTGACAAGAACAGTGTGACTTGCCTCTTACCCTGACAGCCCTCAGTTCTCACTCTGTAGTTGGCATAACTGTAAATAAAGAAGTTCTATTTGGATGATTGCCAGATGTCGTTTTAATTCATTGCTAATATCTTCTTGGCTTTGACAGCCAAATATTTTCTATCTTCTCTTATCACCAGATAAGTTTTAAAAATTATTTTACTTGGCTAGATCGTTTAGATCTAGCTAATATTTTATTGTTTCTCACATACTATTCAGAGTCCACTGTCTGGTTATGCTGCCATTTTGGAGCAGTGTGTCATATGAATCTTATCTGTAGGCCTCATTTATATCAGCAAGCAAAAGTGCGTATAACAACATCTGTTTCATGGGCTGTGCTGCTTTAATTTTTTAATCCGATGCATAGTACTGTATTATAAAAATAATACATACTCATGCTCAGTGTTTTAAATTAGTCCATGTATCTTTGGTTGCTCTTCAGAGGACCCTTATAAGGTAATACAGACAGGGATTGCACCTGTATGATATTAAAAAAGCTGAGGCACAGAGTCAGTTAAGGGTTTACATGGGATGGTATTAGCTGGTTAGTGACAGCTCTGATACTAGAATTCAGATCTTTGCATTGCACCCTCTTCTTTGTGAAATGTGACTGACAAAATTTCTCCTCCCCAGTTTTGGGACAGATTCAGGGGTCCTTATTAACTGTAGCACTGTTTTTCTGCAGCCCATGCTAGACCCAGTCATCCTTACTACGATCCAGGACGTGCGGAGTGTGGAGGAAAAGGACCTCAAAGACAAGGTAATGCTCTCTCCAGTCAGGTGGCCCCAGTGCCTTTTGGTCCATGGAAGGAGAGCCAGAACTTGGAGCAAGGTTCAGACACCATTGCTCTTTGGATTCTGGTCACATACAGCTCACCTCAAATTAAGTTTACATTTCATAACCAAAAAATGTTTCTTCTGAAGTACCAAGAGGTTAATGTTACCTCAGTCAATAGAATGAATGTAGGGTTCTCAGTAAGTGATACCATTAAGAATTTTACTAACATGTTGATTTTGATAGTATTATAATTGGTATAGCATTGAAGAAGCTTAAGTACTAAAAGCTGATCCAGGGGAAGGGTACACAGCTCAGTGGCAGAGTGCATGCTTAGCATGCATGAGGTCCTGAGTTTAATCCCCAGTACCTCCATTAAAAATAAAATAAATAAATAAATAAACAAACAAACAAACTCAATTACCCCCCCCAAAAAAAACTCAAAAAGGAAGGGAGGGAGGAAGGAAAGCTGATCCAAAGTTTGAAGCAGTTTTAACATTTAAATTTGAAATGATTTATTTTGTCTACCTTGAATTTCTCACAGAGCCCTTCCCTTTTCTTTGCTCACCCACGTGTTAACTTTTGTTTAGAAGAAAATGTAGCTAATTGACCATGTGGAATATCAGATACCACTAGACCCTTGTTATTGAAAATGTCCTGTATTCCTTTGTGTTTGTAAGAATAGACATCAGAATGTTTTCATGGTTCCTTTTTTTGTTAATCTTTGTATGTATGTGCGTGTGTGTGTTGTTTTATTTTATTTTTTAATAAAAGAGATTGGTTAGCATCCCTGAGCTCTTGTCTGCCATTAAGTTACTCTGCATGCGCTTCCAACCGGATCTGGTGACCGTCGTGGATGACCTTCGACTAGACATCCTACTGCGCATGCTGAAATCACCACATTTTAGTGCTAAAATGAATTCCCTCAAAGAAGTAAGTTTTGCATTTGTTTCTGGAACACTTAAAGCACAGACACTTTACGGAAGTTCTTCCAAAACTTGTGGTTATCAATGTAAAAATGTTGAGAAATAACAATAATTTCTTGTAATCCTACAAAAAGACATAACAATGATTATATGTAAAATGGTATACATGTTTATAATTGTTAAAAAATGATCTTTTTATATGTATTATATTCAAAATTCATTCTCTAAAATATTTGAAATATTTAGTGTTTCAGTGAAATTTCCTAGAACATAATTCCTTGGAATATATAGTTTAAGATTTACTTTTTGCTTCAAGTGTACAATTCCTTTTATTAGATTTCAGATATATGTTTACGTAAACCAAACCTAACTGGGGTTGGGGCAAAAACAAAATGACTACCAAAGTGATGGTCTAAGCAAAGTGACAGGAGTAATTTTTTATAGCTTCCTAAACTTTACAGGAGCATAGTCGGTTTTGGTGAGTGACAAGTGGAGCCAATACAGTTCAACCATAATTCCAGCTCTTTTCCTTCATTTTGTATTAATTAGGATTCTTGGCTGTAAGTGAAATAAACTCATTTTGAATCATCTAAGGCCAAAAGAGGAATCTAATGGACAAAGACTGGGCTATCTCACATGAATAAGAGATTGACTAGCCATACCCTGTCAGGGCAGGGACACATGTGGGCAGCAGGAACAACTGGAATCTGAGACCTGACCACTGCCAGGACTCTGTCCAGGTCTCAGCTCTGCTTTTCAGAGCATGATGGCCTTGTTCGCTCTCTACCTGCAGAGTGACATCTTGTGTGTGATAGACATCATGTCCCTGGGTAGCTCCCATCACCAGGGCAGGACTGGCACTTTATCTCTATCCCCAGGTATAGAATTTGGAGGAGTTCACTGACTGAAGTTTGGGTCAGATACTCACCCCTGAGCCAATCAGCAGTGGCCCAGGGAGTGCAAACTCCATGTTCTTTTTAAAAAGACATCACAAATAAGTAGTCTGTTATTTCTAATAATTGGTCTTTGATATATTTTGGCTAATCTTTAGACCACATTGTAACACTGTAACAGTCACAAAATATATATGAAGATTTTGATTATGAATATTTGCATTAGATTGAGTCACAATAATACTGTCTTTTTAGGTAACCAAACTAATAGAAGATAGCACTTTATCCAAATCTGTGAAGAATGCTATAGATACAGACAGATTATTAGATTGGCTAGTTGAGAACTCAGTTCTGTCAATTGCATTAGAAGGTAAGTCACTTTAAAAAAATTACCTAACACATAAATAATGTATTTTTGTATATAAAAGCATGAAATTGTCATTTTGACTGTATTAGCCTTCAAACCTTACAGCAGGTTAATATTGCTCTGAATTAATAGAATTGTATTTAGAAAGCCAGTGTTCACTGTATCTATCTGCCTCTCTGGTGTTTCTTCTCTTAGGCAACATAGACCAAGCACAGTACTGTGATCGTATAAAGGGAATCATTGAACTCTTGGGCAGTAAATTGTCTTTAGATGAGCTTACTAAAATTTGGAAGATACAGGTAAGTTGATCAGAATTATTTTTGTCTTTTGCTGACTTTTTTTTTATCAGAGAGGGAGAAGGGTGGTGAATCGCTAAAGCAGAGACTTAACTGCCCATGGATTAAATAAATATTAATTGAAGTCACAAAATATCTATGTGCAAAATTAAAAATGAGACAGATAATAATCAACTGAGGCCCTCAAGATCACTTATAAAATGCTAAAAGTGAGTATGTTTTTCTTGTAATTAGTTTAAATTTTTTTTGTTATTATTTGGGTTTTTTTGAAGAGTAGGGTTTAATTTTTTTTTATGCTGGTTGAAAATATTTTGTTCTTTTGAAATGAATATATCAGATTGAGAACTTGATTCTCATCTTTTTTTTTACATTGTGTTTTAAAAGATCTAATGCTGTTTGGAATTTAAATAAGGCCAACTGATAGCTATTAATAATAGTTGCTTCAGTAGTCTTGCCAACTTTCTCATGTAAGTGTTGCTCATTAGACTAGAATCAGTTTGTCTTTGTTACTGTTTTGTTTTGCTTCAGTAAATCGCCAGGGAAAAGACTTGGGTTTTTCCAAGTTCCAAGACTTAACTTTTTCCCAATGTCTCCTTTTCTAGTCTGGACAATCATCTACTGTGATTGAGAACATCCACACTATTATTGCTGCAGCAGCTGTCAAATTTAATTCAGATCAGCTTAATCACTTGTTTGTTCTCATTCAGAAGGTATGTGTTCAAACATGCTTTTAAATTTTTCTAAAAAAAGTTCATTTTGAGGTCTCCTCCCTCTAAATTAGCAGTGTTCATTACTCTTCTTACTTTATTAAACTTCTCTAGCTCAAATTTAAAGTTTTTGCATGTTTTGCCGGTGTGATAAAATTGGACTGTGAAACAATTCCTGTGTCTTTTCCGTTCTACAGAGCTGGGAGACTGAGAGCGACAGAGTAAGGCAGAAGCTGTTGAGCCTGATTGGACGAATAGGCCGGGAAGCTCGCTTTGAGGCTACTTCTGGAAAGGCAGGAGAAGCAAATGAATTTTTCCAGCTATGAGTACTTAAAGCAGCTTTACTTGCATATGGGATGGCTTATCACATGTGGTTTATCATAGGTGTTAGATGTCCTCTGGGAACTGGCTCATCTCCCAACACTGCCCAGTAGCCTTATTCAGCAAGCCTTGGAGGAGCACCTGACAATCCTCAGTGATGCGTATGCAGTGAAAGAAGCAATCAAGAGAAGCTACATCATTAAGTGCATAGAAGATATTAAAAGGGTTGGTTTTATCTTTGGACTAGTTTTGTTGTCATAGCAATAGTATTATCTGAGTAATTAGAGCCAAATAACTTTCCCCCACTATTATGTAAATTAAACTAAATGTCCTATCTGGAAACTCTTACCTTAGAGTCCAAGATTGGGAAATTATTAGTACTGTTTTTACCAAGTTACTTACATTTCTCATAAAATTAATTTTCAGCCTGGAGAATGGTCAGGTTTGGAAAAAAACAAGAAGGATGGATTCAAGGTAAGAATTTGCAGGTGGAACCAACTAAAAGGTACACTAATTTAATAATTCCTTTTAATAAATTGCATCATAATTTTAAGATAACAGTATATTTTAGTGTTTCTTAGAATAATATTCACATTTAAACTGCTATTTAAATATTAGTTTATGACCTGTGCTTTATTATTTAAAGCTTGGGGAGTTACTGACTCTCAAAGGGAAAAATATTCAGGGTCACATTCAAAGAGTAATTTTATTATTTTCATAAGATTGTAAGACGTTCAACTTATTTCTAAATTAAATCCAAAGTATGCACAACTTGAATAAGCACAAAAGACTCTGAACAAATACCTTGCCCATTTTTCTCCCATAAGGGAGAAATGGAGGAACATTCATAGAGTGGGAAGAGAGACAGAGGGAAGGAGGAGGTTCATTCTGTACTGGCACATGGTCATTTTTAGGGCTTGATGCAGATGTGTTCCTGAACTGATTCCTCAGCCAAACGGTTATTGAGTGAGTGCCTGCTGCTGGGGCTCGATTTTGGAAGTAGGACTGAGTAGTGACTGGTGCTGTGGAAGCCCTACCCTCAGGGCTCTGGCCTCCAGGTTGCTTTGGACTTAAGAACTGTCCTTCGAAAGGGCGGTTAGCAGAAGAATGGGCAGTGACAGTTGTAGCTCTCCTGTTGCTCTAGTCCTTCAAGGTCAAGGCTCTCCTCGGAGAGGGATGATCACCATTGCTGCTTGCTGGAGCGGGCATCTGTGGGTGCAGCCGCTCTGATTGGAGCGCGGTGCTCCTCCCACGTGGGCCCTCAGGCCGCCCAGATGACACATAAAGCCTCACAACAAGAGGGATTTCATTTCACTGTTAACCTGAGAGAGAGTTTTGGGAAAATAGCTATCGGCTTAATAATTTCATTGGTAAAACATATTTCTTGGCTTTCCTAATTAAGTATTTCTTTGAAGGATCTTGAATACAGCTAATTTACATTGGTTAATTCAGACTCAGCTCTTTTAAGTGGCCTCGGTGACTCAGTAGGCTTTTACTCTCTTAAGTTAAACTTGGTCATAAAGTTTAGTTGGGGACATTTAAGAACTTTGTGTGTTATATTTCTAACATTGAAATTTGATCAAGTGAATTTTCTACATTAAAAATTATTCACAAACTGGAGCTGGTAATGCTCAGGTTATGATTAATTAGTCCTTTAATTCAACAACATTGCTCTCTTTCTACTCAGATACAGTTTGAATTTTTCCAGTTTTCTCAGCTCAGCTATTCAAATAATTTAGCAGCCTCTGTCTTTATGATTGAAACTCATCCAGAGTTATAGAAGTTTAGACTTTCCACTGCTAATAGTAAGAGGGAAAGGTATCTATAGAAAATGGTCTTTTCTTCGCAGTAACAGATACATTTCTTTGTAAGTATGAAGGTCAGAGCTGAAGGGACTTTTTCCTCCCTCCAAGGAAATGGCTTTTGAAACCAGAAAATCCTTCCTGACCCCTGTTCCTTCCTTGTTACAGCCAAGCATTACTTAGCCCTTCTAGCCAGTGGCATCGCTCATCTTTGTTGCTTCTCTTTGCAGTCACTTCATTCATGTCTGTTGTTTTATAACAAAGCTCAGAAAGTAACAGGGAGAATTTTGGAGTCATATTGTGAGTCTTGAAAGGAATATTCTTCCTTTTTTATATCCCACTGCTCCCAGTAAAGAAAGTCTGGTGTACCATTCTTTCATTTCAAATAATACTACCTTGCACTTATGCAGCACTTTTCAGTTGACTGAGTGCTTTTGCAGATACTGTCTTAAAGGACACATGGCTGAAGGGGGGCAGTGGGAAGATCAAAGCCCCCGGATATGACTCCAGGCAGGGGGGTGAGTTATATACTGCCACTAAAGGTGTTTTTCTATGCTATGCCCTTTCCTGCCAGGCAGCAAGGTGGGCTGACTGGGGATTATGTCTCCCTGCCAGGCTACACAGAAACTAAGCAAAGGGTAAGACAAGATCACCCACCTCTTACTCCCCTCCCACCCCAGCTACCTCTACTCCCCCAACTGATTCCCTTTCCCTCTGCTTTTGACACTCTTAAAATCCCCAAGTTCCATTGTTGTGTTCAGAAATTCTGACCTTTATTTCTTAACTTTATTTCTGTAGATTATGCCAGGATACCCTTGGCTTCCGTGGTCCTCTTTCCTTTGCTTCCTTTATACCTTCCACTGTCTGCCCCCAACCCTTTCCCTCTTATTTCACTTCTTTTTCCTTCAATTAAAAAGTTTAAATGTACTCATCCAAAAAAAATTACTAAACCAAAAAAATCATTTTTATTCAATTAGTGATGTTTGCATATTCCTTAAGTTGTTATCTTAAGGCCTCCTAGCACAGTTCCCAGCAGCCTTTTAGTAAATGTTGGTTCCCTTCCTCTTACTTCCTCTCCATCACCTATGAGGACACTGAAATCATTACTTACCCATACCTGAGTGGCCTCCACCTGCCAAAACATGTAACTGAAAGTAAAAGTAGCAAGATGCCCTCAGTGCAGTCTCACAGTGATGTGATTGGCACAGGAGGAAATACCTTTTAAAAAAATGTCCTCCCATGTAAAAGTTCTAACCTTGATTCTAGATCAATGGCGAGGTCTGGAAAAACAAGGCAGATGAGGAAATGGGATATTCAGCTTTGAGAAGAGAGAACTCAAGGAAAGAATATGAAAACTTTCGTCAGATACTTACAGGGTTGTTACAGAAGTTTGATTCAGCTTACTTTTTATGTCTCCTAAGAAGTTATGGGAAGGTGTGTTTCAATACGATAGATCAGTGAACTCTCTATGAAAACAGTCTGATACAGAATGCACTGTCTCCTGAGTTCCTCATCACTGGAAATACTAGGAGACTAGTCTTTTAACACAAGTGAGTAAGGAGTGTTTAGGCATAGGTTCACAGGCTAAAACTAGTTGACCTCTAAGGCTTCATCTAACACTAAGAGTCTAATTTGGATACACCATTAACTCCTACTTAAGAAATTTCAGCTTCGTTATCAGACATCATCAGATATGTTAATTGTTTACCATAGTCTTTTGCCCCTTTTGTAAATGGAGAAGAGTAATTTAAATTTTTCTTGTAACTTAGCAACATAATGTGCTAGATATGATGGAATAAATAACATCTGTCTTGTTTGCTAAACTTTAGAAAGGCTATTCCAGAAATACTTTTCAGATTCCAAAGGATAATTTTTAATGTTAAAAAAATTAATTGTAATTAACTTAATTGATCATAATGATACTTTTTAATATACCTGATTTTTTACTAAAGGGTTTTATATTTATATCCTAATGTTGTAATCCTTTTAGAAGGTATCAGTTTGGACTTAAGCCTTAGAATTTTAATCTGTCATTTTGCAGCTTTTATATCTTAGCAGAAATATTCTAGCTAGCCTTGCAAGTAGTTGGCCTTTAATATATACCTTATTTCTCTGATTCTAAGATGCCAGTGATTGCAGTGTGCATCACAGGATTAATCCAATACGTGCAGCCTCACTGTGGCACACTGCTTTTCATTATCTAGCGTAGTGCTTTGGACTTACTTGAAATCTCTAAGATTGTAGAATTTTGAGGCATGTTGAAGAACATGGAGTTTTGTGTCCTTGTCTTTTTTTTTTTTTGTAAAACTCAAGCTGCTTTTTTCTTCCTTAAGTTATGTATACTACAAGTTAAACAGTTTCTCTTGAATTAAGGTGCAAACTTGGGACAGAGAGACTTTTAATGATATAGCCCTTCACAGGGTATGAGTCTGTCACACCAAATTCTCCTGGCTTTGAAAAATGCTTTAATATGAGACAACTGGCAGTTTTCTTTGCTTTTAATTGAACTGATAGACATGACAGGCTAGTCAGTGCTACATCATAGCGTAATCTTTTTGATATCGTTCAAGAAATAAACCAGTGACCCAAATTTAAGTTAAAGAGCCATCCTTGTTTGGTGCTAACTCTGCCACATAGCAACAGAAATGATGGGTAGATGAACACATACCTTTGTATACAGCTACGTTTGCACATACTCAGGTAAGGATGGCTATATCTAAACTTACTCCTATGCCTAGTGGCTGGTAAGTTTCTTTCAACATAATTGTAAGAAGTGACAACTTCAGAAATGTTTAAATTTATGAAACCTATATCTTAGAATCCAGGAAATATGGTATTTGCTGACTGATTGGCTAATCTCTAGGAAAGCCAGTATTATTTTGGCAGTAGCTCTCACATTTACATACTTAGTAGTATGACATTTTTCTACAAATGACATCAAAAGTATTTTTCTGCCCTATAGGCATCTTCATCTTACAGAAAGACTTGAAGAAGCAAGAAGGCTTCAAAAAAAGATACAGTTTTTAAAATAAATGCTAAGGGCTTAAACTTTTACTCAGTTTTTTAGAGTTACTTGAGCAAATGATTAATAGTGTTTAATCTGACATTCTTACAAATTTTGTAATGAAATCTCATAGTTGGAAAGATACTACTTATTAAAAAAGCAGTTCTCTTTTTAAAGAGTATCGCATGAACATCATACTTTTCAGATATGTACTTTGAAGATCTGGATTGTCATATACCAGTTTCAGAAATAACATGTTTGGAAGTGTTTTGAAAAATTCAAAGTATAAGTCTAAAGTGGCTGTAATAATTAATAAAAATAGAATTATCTCATAAAACTGTTTTAACTAGGGAATACAAGCAGATCATGAATATTTTCTTCAATATTTAGACCACTATCAGTATCTTGATCATATAATTATAGAAAACCGTATTTTTATAACATTTTACTTCTCAGCCAGTTCAGTATTATCCAAGTTAAGCTTTTACTATCAGTTTATTTTATTACATCAACATATCCTAGCAGCCTGTGCTACTTAATCTATCCTCTGAAGTTGCTAATTCCTTGTCGTCTGTTTTTTTGCTGATGTACCCCTGTACATTTACTGTCACTTCACATCCACTCCTGTTTGCAGTTCTTGACCTTAGGATTGCATGCAGAATAAGAAGTTGAAGACTGAATTATGAGTGCATGGTGATAAACTATAAGTACACAATATGAAGACAAAAATAGAGAATGCATAGCAATAAAACCTAATTGACTTGGAAATTTTTTGTAGCTAATAAGTTTAATCTACCATTTACTTCTAAATTTAATTAATGTGTCTTCTTTTTAACTCCAGTCATCTCAGCTTAATAATCCCCAGTTTGTATGGGTGGTACCAGCTTTGCGTCAGCTACATGAAATCACCCGGTCATTCATAAAACAAACCTATCAAAAGCAAGACAAGGTAAGAGCAAGGCTGTATTTGATCATTATGCAGTTACTTGCGTGACCTTTTATGATAATAGAACATCAGTAAGATTGCTGAGTTCTGCAGTGACTGTTTTGTATTTTTATGATTATCAATGTAATTCATTTATATTATTCAATAATCTTGAATGTAACCATCATTCTGCTTTCATTTCTATGGAGCTTTTCTTTTGACATACCTCTAACTCAGTTATTTATTTCTTTGATTTACTGAAATAAGCCAGTATTTAAAAGTTAGAATGATATTTTACAGATTTGTTTGAAAAGGTTCAAAGACATACTTTATATTGCAAAAACATTAGTTTGCTTTAAGGAGCTTCCTCAGTGTAGTAGACTTGGGAAGAGAGATCTGGAAAAAGTATACAAGAAGTGAAATAGTTCTTTTGAAAGACTTCTTTTTTAAAAAGATTATCTTTTAGAAGTAAAAAATTGCCACATAAGTATATTAATTCTGGAGTAATTCCCTAGTACATACCAGATTGATTTTATTTACCTTTATGTAGGAAATGTGAGTGAAGAAATTTTTACATTTCCTCTTCGTCAGCTGCATGCTAAAATAGAAGTTTGTATTAAACTGACAAAATAACTGCACATTCTCTTACCATTTTTCTTTTTGTTGTTTTTGCCAAGAGCATTATTCAAGACCTGAAGAAAAACTTTGAAATAGTGAAGTTGGTAACAGGAAGTTTAATAGCTTGTCATCGCCTTGCGGCAGCCGTGGCTGGACCTGGAGGCTTAACTGGCTCGACACTGGTGGATGGCCGATACACTTACCGGGAGGTATCTGGCATTGTGCTTCTGTGTTGTGATTTTACAGCATTCGTTTGGCCTTTTTGCACTTGAACTGTAAAATTATTATTTGTTGGGAGTAACTCTGAAGAGGTATCATGAGGTATCTTTGTCATGGGGGAACAGTTTTGTATCTTGACGATAATCACTTCAAAATAAAAGTAGAAAAATTGATATTTGTGGGTAAATCTTTCAGTAAATCACCTGAGATAACTCCATATAATAAGGTAAAATAAATCTCTTTTCTCTGTCTTTGATCGGAAATAATAACTGTCAATTCTGTGGCTAATGACATGTTTTTTAAATCTGTTGGTTAGTAATAGATTGTTTTTTAAAAAACAGAAAAATATCTTAACTCACCAGTTGTGTTTGTGGTATTTTACTCTAAGATTGCTGAAATTTTATTTTGTTGGCATCTAAACTTAACTGAGTTTGTAATAGATGCCAAGTAGTTTCTGCCACATTGTACTGACTACTTGTAAACAGATTTCTCACATTTACTTTATACCCTAAGTTATATGAAAAAGCATGAACTATTGTTTTAATTTTAAAGTTTTTTTTTTAAGTTCGCTTTTAGATATGAATGCCTGGAGTTAACTAATTAGCATTATTTCTTTTTCCAGTATTTAGAGGCCCATCTGAAATTTCTGGCATTTTTCTTGCAAGAAGCTACTCTGTATCTGGGTTGGAATCGTGCCAAGGAAATCTGGGAGTGTCTTGTGACTGGCCAGGATGTTTGTGAGTTAGATAGAGAGGTAAGAAAATGGTATTGTGGATAAAATAAGACAGAAGTGGGACTTAACAGTATTTCACTTTTTGTGTGTGTCTCACATTTTTGTATGTGTCTCACATCTTCAATTCTAAACACTGTTCAATTCACTAAGCATACATGTATACTAATAGGCTAGAAATTGTAAGTATTGAAAAGGTATTATATTTTATATAATATATATCTGTGATATAAACAAGTGTGTGAGTTCTTTGGTAATTTTGATACCATTCTGGATAAAATCAAATTCAGCCAAGTGAGTACAGCTAATGAATTCTTGGTGTATCTTTTAATTTTCTTCCCATCCATGAAACTAATTTTAAGTTAACCAACAGAAAACTTTGAGTTCTTGTAATAATGTTGTACCCAAGAAACACTATAAAGAAGTAATGCCTAAATTATAAATAATGTCGCTGTTAATAGCAGGTGTACGTATTTTTTTAATTAATTCTTATTTTGTGGTTGGCTGTATTCCTTTGATAACCATGTAAGTTAAAAAGCTAAAGCTCTAAACGTTCTTAGAAACAATGAACAGTACATACAAGTAAATTTTTTAAAATATGTGCAGATGGGGGAAGGATATAGCTCAAGTGGTAGAATGCGTGCTTAGCATGCACAAGATCCTGGGTTCAACCCCCAGTACCTCCTCTAAAAAGATAAATAATTAAATAAACCTAATTCTTAAAAAAAAAAAAGACAATCAATC